CAAATGCAAAAAGCCGCACTGCTTGGATCTGCACGCATATTACGAAAATACGTTACGACGCCCTAGTCCCCTGGGTGGGGCCCGACTAGTAACCAATGCCAAATCCGGCGAAACAACTGGCCGCTGTGATACAATTGTATAATAATATAAAATAATGCTGGAATATTTCTGATGCATACAAAGGATAGAAAGTTTTGACTTGAAACATTTTGAGCACTTCTCTCTGTAGACATTAGGAGCCTGACCAGGAAGAGTTTTGCAGTAGTGGGCCCACATTTATAGCATGATTTCCTCAGTAAATTTGGGAAGGAGGGATTGGAATTTTAAAGAGAAAACAATAACATTACTAAATTGCTAATTCTATTGAACTGTTTAAGGAACTTATAACTTCTGAGGGTTTTGTTGTTGTTGTTATTTCTGATGCTAATTTCAGTAGTGTTATTTTTTTAAAAATAATTTCTGATATTATTTTGAAATCTTATATATTTAAAGTAGCAACTGTTACCTGAAAGATACTCTATATTCAGATTTTTAAAAAATTACAGTGCATAAGGCTTGAACTTAAATGAACTGAGAGTGTAACTTCAAATCCTTAAATCATAAAGCTGGAAAAACCATTTAACCCTTTGACCCTAATCTCCCCCTAAATTCAAGAAATGAAAATAAAATTTATGCCTGAAGGGATCCAGTAAAGGGAAGACCAAAGGTTATTTTTTTTAAAGAAAATTCCAAAGTGTTACTTTAAGGAGTTGGTATAACAGTCAGTTAGAAAATGTGTTCCTGTAAGAATTTACTTTATAGGTTAAGGCAGGGGTCTGCAGCCTGTTTTCCAAACAGGAAAACTGGTGGGCAAGCACATGCAAAACCACCCCCTCTCCCCACCATGCCTCCGCCGTTCCCCTGAGCTGGAAAAGTTGGGGAACGCTGGGTTAAGACTCTTACACTGTAAATGGTTGTGGCCATTTAAGTGAAACAACCTGAGGTAGTTGAAGAATGCCTATAACTACCCAATTGTCTTTTTTCAAGGCCAAATCTTTACTTGCAAGACAACTTCTATGCCCTGATAATCCTCATTGCATTTCTTGCAATCTATTCCAATTCGTCTGAATCCTTTTGAAAGGATAGTATTAAGAAAAGGAACACACTCCTGAAGGTGCAGGATAAAATCGCATTTTTGAAATTATGTTTGTTTATATTAGTTCTTTTGTTCCTCAAGTCAATGAGCAGCCTGCCCCCTGTGAAGAGGCGGACTAACAAGCGTCCAAAGAAAAATGGTGAGATCCCTTTCAAAGATCATAAAGAAGTGCCTTTGAACCAAGCAAAAGGTAGAGAATATTTTAATTCACTTTATTCTTGAAATTATTGATTCAAAAATTCTAATTCTAAGAGCCAAGGTGGCGCAGTGGTTAAATGCAGCACTGCAGGCTACTGCTAGATCAGCAGGTCAGCGGTTCAAATCTCACCGGCTCAGGGTTGACTCAGCCTTCCATCCTTCCGAGGTGGGTAAAATGAGGACCCAGATTGTTGGGGGCAATATGCTGACTCTCTGTAAACCGCTTAGAGAGGCCTGAAAGGCCTATGAAGCGGTATATAAGTCTACTGCTATTGCTATTGCTATAATGCTGAACAGGCTCCTTCACCTTTATTTGAGGACATGGTGACTAATGGACTAAACCCATGTTAAGGCCATAAGCGCTATTAGGTTGCAAAATATTTTTCTTCAGGTCAGGTAAGTACATGATCAGAAAGATCAACAGGTGGGCAGGAAGTGTGTGTATTAGTCTTCTTTATTTTTTTTTACTTATTTTATCACATTTTAAAATAGTCTTCCTCCCTCGCGGGGACTCTGAGGCAGTATACAATAAAATATTTAAATATGTATAGATAGCAACTTTCCCCTTCCAATTTTATAAGGCATGACTTGTACTTTTCCATGTATATATTACAACAAAGCTGCAGTAGTTTACAATATTAATGCTGCATGAGCTGCTCTTGATTGCATTAAATGAAAGAAATGTCCCAAAATATTTCTCGTCTTCTCCCTTTCTGCTCTAAGACAAAAAAAAGTCAGTTGGATTACCAAGATTCAGGAAGTGTTGTAAAATTATTTTTGCTCTTCCTTTCTCTTCAAAAGAGCCCCAATCATCATATCTATAAAAATTAGACAGTTAAATTAATGTAAAGTAAAATGTTCATTCATTCATTCATTGTAGGATGAAGACATGTTTCCAACCAATACTGTCTTCAGGTTTCCTTTGCTAGTTTGGCCTGTAATACTTGCTGATGTTGTCGCTCCATCTTCTTTTAGGTCTCTTGTGGATGCTTTCTATCAAGTGAGACCCATTCTATGACTGCCTTAGTCCACTGCCATCAGTTCTTCTTGCCCTATGACCAGCTCATTTCCATTTCAATTCTTTTATTCTCTTGATGATACTTTTGTTTGTTCTGTCATTCATGTGTGAGTCTTTCTATCTTGTCTTGTGGTGCCAAGCATATCTCTTTCCATTGCACCACTTATAGCTTTTGTATCGATTATGAGGTTATTGTCCATGTTTCACTGGCATATGTTAGAGCAGGTAGCACACACTGATAGAAAACTTTTCAGGCATAGGGGGGAAGTTCTTGACAATTATGCTTAGGGACAGGAATATTGTAACCTGGTAATACATCAGTTTTCTCTGGAGAGCATTTATTTTGGAAAGGTAGAGTTGCAAAGTACTGTACTTGCGACTTGATGTCTGATGCAACCATATAAGTTTGCGGATTTGTGTCATAATAAGTTTATTTAGTTATTCCTGCTCAATTTCTGGTCACCTGTATCTTTGCCAGTTCCAGCCATAGCCAGGCAGTCCTCAACTTACAATTGAGCTGAAGATTTCTGTTGTTAAGTGAGTTTTGCCCCATTTTACGACCTTTCTTGCCACAGTTGTTAAGTGAAACACCACAGTTGATAAGTTAGTAACATACTGTATTTTTCGGAGTATACGACACACCCTTCTCCCTCAAAAAAGGAGCTGAAAATCTGGATGTGTCTTATACACTGAATACAGCATTTTTTTGCCTCCCGAAATCCCGCCCCTTCACCAAAATGGCCGTGCATAGCTTTTAGGAGGCTTTCAGAGTGCTCCTGGGGGCTGGGGAGGGCAGAAATGAGTGAAAAACGGGCCTTTTTTGCTCAACCCCCCCCCCCCGGAGCACTCTGAAAGTCCTTCATGGTATTGGACCTGGGTACTTGAGAGACCACCTGCTGCCAATTACCTCCAACAGACCTATTAGATCCCACAGATTAGGTCTCCTCCGAATTCCATCTACTGGCCAATGCTGTTTGGCTACCACCCGGAGGAGGGCCTTCTCTGTGGCCGCTCCGGCCCTCTGGAACGAGCTCCCCGTGGAGATTCGGACTATCACCACCCTTCAGCTTTCCGCAAAGCCCTTAAAACCTGGCTGTTCCGACAGGCCTGGGGCTGATGAAATCCCCGCCCCCGCTCAAATTGTGTGGTTGTTGATTGTTTTTAAATTGTTGTAGTTGTTTGTCCATTGTCTTTCCTTCTGTTTGTATTCCCCCCCCCCCCTTACTTTGGTTTGTGAGCCACCCTGAGTCCCTCTGGGAATAAGGCGGCATAGAAATGCAATAAACCAAACCAAACCAAAACTCTACAAGCCTTCTAAAGGCTATTCATGCCCCCTTGTTTTGGGGGGGAAAAACAGGCCCGTTTTCAGGAGGTTTGCAGTGTGCAAAAACTTTTTTTTTTAATTTGCCTCTTCAAACCTTGGTGTGTCTTACACTCTGAAAAATACAGTAGTTGTTAAGTGTATCTGACTTCTCCAGTGACTTTGTTTGTCAGAAGGTTGCAAAGATGATCACATCACCTTGGGATACAGCAATGGTCACAAAACTGATCAAAAACTTCTCAGTCATAGGGGGATGATGTTCTTGAAAATTATGCTTAACTTGCCAATGTCTGCCAACCACATTTAACATGCCATTCAATTTCCTGTTATTGTATCACCTTCCATTGAGATCCATTGGCCATAAATGTAAAACATAAAAACATTAAGCAGAGTATTAAAACTGAGAGCCAAACTATATTAAAAAAGCTGTAAGAAGATGTTCCATATGAAAATTTCTAAGATGGGATGAGTAATCTGCAGTTGTTTTAATGCTGAATTCTTAATACCCGGAAGCCCCCGCTAATATATATAATGATGGGAGATGATAACCATTATTAACAACTAGTAGAACATAGATTCCCAGCTCTATAGAATGTTTAGCTCACCTTTATCAGTGTGGCCCAAACTGCAGATCTGTCCTCTTTCAGAAGGACAGTGTTGGTGCAAGGGAATTGTGGAGAATTCCCTCTTCCCCAGCTCCAACTGCTCTAGTACTTAGTAATACAACAGGGTACACCAAACTGGGATTGGAAATGCAGTGCCCACAGTCTGCAGTTCTCTTGATGATGTGTCGATTCTTCAGTTTTAAGTGCAAGCTATTGCATTTCGATGGCCAGGGCTATGCAGGGATAGGGTTTATCCCCTGTCTTCCCAAACTGGCTACACTAATCTTGATGTGGCATTAAATTAACCTTTCTCCTTGTACTGAACCTTGATCTAAAAAGCCATCTCCTCATCATCATGGTCGGTCCCAACAACTGTTTCACTCCATATATCAATTTGTGCGCACATTGGATTTGATGCTCTGTTTAGATTGATTTTGTAATCCAAAAGTGAGGAGCCCTGCATGTTAGGACGGATTACCCCCTGGTCAATTGGTGCAAGCCACAACAAAATATGGTAAAAATGATCCGGGCCAGGTAACTGATGAGTAATGGGTTTGAAAGGGATGGTAACTGACATTAAATCAAGACAAAGCAGTGATGCTGTTGGTAAATAGGAAAGTAGACTCAGAGATTGAAATGATCATTTTGGATAGAGTTGCAATGCCTTGAAACAGCATAGTTCAGAGTCTGGGCATACTCTGTGATCCTGAGCACTTACTGGACATGGCTGTCATGAGAAGGGTTTCTATACATTTACACATTACATGCCTGTGCAATCCTTATTGTAATCCACATCATTTTCTACAACTTGGTGATCATGATATGACTATACAAAATACTTCCTGTAGGTTAAGCTTGCAAATTGTCTGGAAGTGCAAATGATGTTATATAGGATGATTTTGCTACTAACCAATGAAAGATACAGGAATCATTTACCTGTATTGAAAAGATACACAGTGGTTGCACAATTTCAACTGTTGGGGCTTAAAGAAAAGATTGCCCTTATTTTACAAATTTGTCTCAGCCCTGTTTTCAGTCCTTCAGGAGTGGTTGTTTTGAAAATGCCCCCTCTATTTAATGCCCCCTGCCCCCCTTTTTGGCATGTAAGAGGATTTTCTCATGTTCCAATAGTAAGGATCACATTCCCTTGGAGCTGATTTTTGCTCCCTCTGTTAGTATTTTTAAAAGACACACATCTTTTGTTATGCTTTCAAAGGTTAATTTTAGTGCAGTATTTTGTATTTATTTTTACTTTTTAAAATGTTATACTTTGCTTTTGCTGTTTAAATCCTGTCAGCTGCCTTGAATACCTGCAGAATAGAAAGGTGAAGAAGAAATTAATTCTATTAACAAATTATTTCATTGATTTAGAACCTAAGCTAACTTGTATTTCCAAAACTAATTTTTACTAGGAAAAATTAATATGAAATCTAAGAATATAACCAGGAAAACCAAATGTAAATTGAAGCGACAGTCCCAACACCTTATTTCAGACCCTGAAGAAAATGACACTGAATTCATCATTAAAGATGTTCACAAGAAGGAAGCCACTGTTATGCTGACACCTCTGAGAAAGAAAATAATGCAAGAAAAGCAGCACTCCAATAGCAGGCCCAGAAATGAGCAAAATGTGACTAAGGATTGTGGAAACATCACTTGCTGTGAAATAAACTTGGTTGATGTAGAATCAGACACTTTGAACTGCACGTTAAATTTGTTGAAACAACATCAACAAATTGAGAAAGTTGTGGAAAATGTTCCTTGCACAGATGAAGATGAATCTAATGAAGATATCCCATGTATTAAAAGGAAAATACGGCCTCCTTTCAAAAGAGAAATGTTCAACAAGGAATGTAATAATACACAAGGACCATCCCATGAGCAAAAAAGTACAGAGAATTGCGTAGCACCTTCTCAGAGCCAAAAGACAAAATGTTCTTACATTGTCCAGGAGGACTCGCTGGAAGTACTAAGTAACAAGAGTTCGTCTCCTGACTTGGATACCAGTTCTAAGCTAGAGAAAAGGAATAGACAAAAGTCACAGAAGGGGTTCAAGAGAGCCAGAAAGAATGCTCTTGCATCAGACACCGAAAGTGAAAACAGCATAGAGGCATTTCCTGTGGAAGAAAGTAAGATAACAATACCTACCAAGAGGACTAATGGTCGCATTTCAACTAGTCCAAAAGCCTTGCCTGTGGCTAGAAAGCCACACAAACAGAGCAAGTTAAGGAATGCTGTGAAGTCTCTTCCAGACACTGATGAAAACTGGACTGAAGAAGAAGTAGAAAAGATGTACAGGCAAGTAGGGATGGTCGGACCATAATTTTTCCTTATGCTGTAAGACGCTGTCTGTAAAGGTGTGACTTAACAGAGCTTTTCTAATGCAAGGATAACAATATCTGATTCCATATTAGTCAACAAAATGATTTGTAAGCTTTCTTTTTCTACTCTCCTAACCAATCCTGCAAATGACTTTCCTCCTACACAACTCCCAACATTTTCTTCCTGATCTTTTTTTCTTCTACCACCCTTTTTAGATTCTATTTAGTGTCTAACTTTCATACCATTGGCACCAAAGTTATAACATAATGTGGTTCACCCAGTGCTTCATATTTTTATAGGGCAGTGGCATCTTTTCCCAAATACAAAAGTGGTTTCTGGATGGCTGTGGCAAAGTCTGTGGGAACACGATCGGCTGAAGAATGCCAGGAAAAATACATGGCAGACCACGATGGGAAGAAATGCGTCCGAAAGAAGACCACCAAGCCTGGGAAAAAGGAAGAAAGAGGTACCTGACCTCTTCCATGCAAAGCCAGACACATGTCAAGGTTCTTGTTCTGGGGGCATGGAAGGGTAGGAGTCTGGGTAGACTTTCAGCAAAAGCATAACATTTTTCTTATTTGTCTAGGGCAGTGTTTCTCAACCTTGACAACTTGAAGTCCTGTGGACTTCAAGTTGCCAAGGTTGAGAAACACTGGTCTAGGGGTGCCCTTGAATTTTGCAAAATTAGGCAAGCACTTTTCTGTTTTAAGATGAATTAAAGGCTTTTTTTTTCTTTTCTTTTTTTTGAATCTGTACCTGAGAATATTGGGATAACTTTTCAGAATTTGGGGCAGATACCGAAGTAATAATAGGATGCTTGTGTGTTGTTTTTGTTCACTAATTGGAAAAAAAGTGACTGTGTACAAACTAATTCTGTCTTTAAAATGGTTTGATGAAGCTGTTTGTGTATGGTGTTGTTTAAAGTTAGTGTGGGGAGTGAAGAAAATTCCAATCCCAAAATATTCAGATTAAGGAAAGTAACAGTTTTTTTTTTTAAAGTGGCTTCTAACCTTTGCCTACAATTTCCATCCTCTTGCCAAAAAAAAAAAAAAAAGAATGTCCATGTAAGTTTGTATCATTCTTGCTGATAGATAGGGGGACACAACAACAGCCGTTGGCAAAGGTGGGAACCCTGAAAAGGATACAGCAGATGCGGAAATTCCTTGAAGAGATGCCCAAGGATAACCACGATGACATCTTTACTTCCACACCTTTCCAAAATAGGATCACAAAAGTAAATATCATATCTGTTGTTTATATTAGAATATTTCTACCAGGGTTCCATCAGATAGGATGCTAGAAATGTTCAAAACAAAGATGGAAAGTTGTTTTCCTTTTCCTGGGATCTAACGGTGTGAAATAAATTCATTCTTGATTTTGTGCTGGTCTTCAGAAATACATTTATAGAATCGTGGCTTATGTCTAGATCTTGAGATTAGTCCAAAATGTACGTAACAGACATTCCCTAAATATCTGGTATCCATTGGGATTCTAGTTATTGCAGAGAGTTGCAAGTACACTGTTAGTTGTGGGTAATTAATAGAACAAAGTACAAAAGGAAGAAAATATAGAAAGAGTTATACCAACCCTATTACTTTACTCTGCTTTTCAAAGTGTTATTTATACGTGAACCATTCTCTGGAACTCAGTCCATCTGTAGCAGCAAACTGTTTGCCCTTTGAGAGATTTTTTTTTAAAAAAAACTAAGAGTTTAAGTTTTAAAAAATAGTTTTTTACTTTAATATATAGACCAGTGGTTCCCAAACTTGGCAACTTTAAGACTTGTGGACTTCAACTCCCAGAGCTGGCTGGAGAATTCTGGGAGTTGAAGTCCACAAGTCTTAAAGTTGCCAAGTTTGGGAACCATTGCTATAGACATATTACATTAGGCATCTGCCTTTTCCATTTGCTTATCCTTTACTCAACTTTCTATCTGCTTCTGAGTCTTTTCCCCTTAAAAATCTTCACAACCTCGAAACTCTCTAACAGCTTTACAATCATTACCCTACCTATGTGATTCATCCTATTGGTAAGGCCCACATCTTCTATTAAAACTATGTTACTTTCACCTAACTAACTAAAAATTCTATCACAGCTTTAATTATGGATAATTTATAATAAATGCCTCATCTTCTAATTGCGAAAAAAAAGGCATGAAGGCAACATGAGAAAGATGCTCTTGGATGGGGATAATATAGTAAACTTACAGCAAACACCTTCTCTTTCTGGGGATAACCAAGATATGATCTGTAGTTGCCACAGTTCTGCGTGGCCCCAGAGGAAGATATTTTCCAGTTGAAAGAAAGTCAACCTATTACACCTGCGTCAGCTATTTTCCCCTGGTTGAAGACACCCCAATGTGACCACCTCACCCCTGGCATGCTGGAACCTCCGGATAGGTAGGTACTCTGGATGGATTCTATTCATTATTTTGAACGGCAAAAGCAACTGCCTTTTTATGAGCAGAACTCATTCTAGCTTCACTGAAGTCACTGCTGACAAGTGTGTAAAATTCACACATAAATATATGGTTCCAACAATAAGGATAGGACTGAGTCAAGAAACAAGGAAGTTGGATTATGTGGGCATTTCAGCATTCTGGAATGTGTTTTTTGGGGTGGGGGCAAGCACAGGAAGAGAAATAGAAAAAAGGAAGAGAAAAGAAGGATAGTGAGCAATAGATTCTTGGGACGGTGTTAAGACTAAACAGCGTGTGCTGCTACAGCCTGACAACAAGCAAAGATGTTGCTTCTTGGGAGTAAGTGAGACACATTCACATATACAGATTCTCCATTTAAATTGTCTTTTTATTTTAGGGAAAGCTGTGATAAACATGTCTTCCACATGCAAAAACTTATCAAAGGCAAGGAACGCACGTGGCTGAATGTAAAGAAGAAATCGGTAATGCCTTACCTTCATTTATCACATATGAAGACAAATTAGATATCCTGCATCTTTTAAAAAATAATTCATGCATTTTCCTTCTCTCTGAAGGGATCTAAAGCTATTCATAGGACCTGGTTATTTTCTCAGTAATAATATTTCCCCCCCCCCCTGAACAAATAAAAATAGTTGTCAAATCCACTTCAGAAGCAAACAGCTTTATTAACAGCTAAAAATGGAAAACAACCCCCCCCCCCAAATATATATATATATATATATTATGAGACATGAAGCGGTCAGGACCAAGAGCCAACTAAGTTTCTTAATGAGCCTCCTCAGGACCTTTGTGGTTCTGAGGTGTGTTGAACCACAAATGCCCTTGTTCTAAAGGACAATTCCTAAAGCCATTTTCCAGTAACAGCCTTGCCTTGAAAAAATAATTCTTGGCTGGTTACGCATTGACTAACCTAATGTCGAAATTTCCTCTGCCTGCATATAGTGCCTAGGAAAGTTGCCCCCGTCTCGAATCGTATGACTGTTGTATGTTTTTAAATTATGCATTGTTATGCTTGTTTTTTAAATTTTTTGTCTGTATTCCCCTTCCCTGGTTGAGTTGTGAGCCGCCCTGAGTCCCCTCAGGGAAAAGGGCGGCCTATAAATAAACTTATATCCAATATCCAATTATATCCAATTCCATGGCTTTATTGAATCT